TACTTGAGGCCACAGTCTAAAGCAAGGATCCGAGGGGCACCCCCTGTATTGAATATCCGTGGAGTCTGAGAAATAGAGGAATAAAGGGCAACCGTTGACAGCTGTGCTCAGTGGGTATAAGATATGCCTGCAGCAACTCCTTTGATTCTCTCATGTGTTCACCCTCCCCACCAAATGTGGGCAGAATATAACTACTGTGCTACAGCTTGCAACTCTCTCACTCTACCTCTGTACCTTAATGGAGACCTCTGGAACCAGGGGGCGGGCATTGGGATCCAAGAATGGCAGGGATGAAGGTTCTGTTCCATTCTGGACCAGCTTCCCCAGCAGAGATCCTTGTTCCCGCAACTTCTTGGTCAGCTCCCGAGTATCTACTCCTGTCAAAATAGCACAGTCTTAGGGATCACATTCCCCCAACTCAGTCACCTGTGAGGTTAGACTTCCAGAAGCACTTCCATTCCAGAGCCCTAGTCACACACAGTTGTTCTATGTGCACCAAAATCCTAGGCCATTGTGATAGGACTACACTACCATGAAGTATTACTGCCAAAAATATCAAATCTGAATTGAACCACAACTCTAAATCTATCCATTTATAGAAAATAATATCAAGGGAAAAACGAATACACTAAGTAACCCTAGAGGAACGAAACCAAGTAAGTGCAGACTATGGGATACTAGACACAGGAAAAATGACCCATTTTCAGACAGGTTACAAGGTCCACAGATTAAATTTAAGAGACATATCAACCAAATGCAATGCATGAACCCTGTTTAGAATGAGTTTCAAACAAACAGTAAAAAAAAAAAAACAAAAAAAAAATTACAGGAAATTGTAAACATTGCCTGGACACTTATATTAAGAAATTATTAATTTTTTTAGTGTATGTTATTGTGATATTTTTTAAAAAGATTCTTTTTCCACAGATATTAAACTATTCGTAGAAAAAACGATATGATGTCTGAGATTTGCTTCAAAATAATCTAGTGGTGGTGATGAAATAAGATTAGTCCCGAGCTGATGATTATGGAAGAAGGGAGTTCCTTTCTGTGTTGGAAATTTTCCAAGTGATAGCTCAATTCTTTCCCCCAGTCTAACTCCAATCTAAACCTTTCAACTATCACAATCTCAGAGTCAGGTCCCAGCAGACTTACAGAAACCTTCTTTCCATCCAGGCATGCCATGCTCTGCCCAAATATGCCTGTGCTTGCCATCATACCTTGCAAGCCAGGGATGCCATGCTGTTGCAGCCACTCATGTAGGGTGCGGGTGGCATTCCAGTGGCTGGGAGTAGGACAGCATTCTCCCACCACCAGTCCTGCCACGTGGATGCCCGAGGATTCAAACCACTGTGGATGGAAAGAGATTGAGAGGAGCTTCAGGCCAAATTATTTCTTTAGAGTATTATCCCCATTGTGTGGCCATTAACCCTATATTCAACCACACTGAATGGTCTTCAATATACCAAGCATTTGGTGCTTTTGCATAGATATTTCCCTTTACTGACAATGCTCTCCCCTATATAAAAAACAACCCACAGGCTTAGGGTGCCCAGTTCATCACTGAAAATGACATTTTCCTTTAAGTAATTACTTTATTTGAGAGTCTCACTCTGTCACCCAGGCTGGAGTACAGTGGCACGATCTCAGCTCACTGCAACCTCTACTTCCCGGGTTCCAGCGATTCTCCTGCCTTAGCCTCCTGAGTAGCTAGGACTATCAGCATGTGTCACCATGCCTGGCTTCTTGTATTTTTAGTAGAGACCGGGTTTCAGCATGGTAGCCAGGATGGTCTCGATCTTCTGACTTCATGATCTGTCCACCACAGCCTCCCAAAGTGCTGGGATTATAGGCATGAGCCCCCGCGCCCGGCCATTTTTTTTTTTTTTGGAGACAGGGTCTGGCTGCCCAGGCTGGAGTGCAGAGTACAGCAGCACGAACATACAGTTCACTACAGCCTCAAACTCTTGGGCTCAAGTGATGCTCCCATCTCAGCCTCCTGAGTAGTTGGGACTATAGGTGTGGACCATCCCACCTGGCTACTTTTTAAAATTTTTTGTAGTGACAGGGTCTCACCATGTTGCCAGGCTGCTCTCCAACTCCTGGGCTCAAGTGATCCTCCCACCTTAACCTCCCAAAGTGCTGGGATTACAAGTCATGAGCAACCGTGTTCCGCCTGTTTCTTCCTTTATCTAAAACTGAAATAACAAATCCCTTCTCTGTGAAGCCTCTCCCACTCACCCAATGCAGCTTGTGCCTCCATCTTAGAGCTCTCCTAACACTTCATTTCCTCTCTTGCTATTTACACTGTATCATGAATATGTATTTGTGTCTTTGTCATGAAACAGAGAACTCAAGAGCAAGACAAATGGTGTCAGTCAGACATTTATTGAGGTGCAGGCATTGCAAAAGATGCTGAGAAAAGAGCAATGAGCAAGAAAAGATGAGGTCCCTGTCTTCATGATGTTTATTTCTGACTTAGGGAGCCAGAAAACAAGGTAACACTCATGTAAGAAAGATATTATAGAGTGTGGTTAAAAACTGAAATAAATACATTACTAAGTAAAGAAACAAAGGTTCAGGGCACAATACTAAGCATGACCCCCAAACTTCGTTTGAGATTATTATTTTAAAAAGATAATATACCAGCCTGGACAATATGGCAAAACCCAATCTCTACAAAAAATACAAAAAAATTAGCCAGACATAGTAGCATGTGCCTGTAGTACCAGCCCCTTGGGGGGCTGAGTTGGGAGGACTTCTTGAGCTCAGGTGGTGGAAGCTGCAGTGAGCCATGATCATGTCACTGCACTCCAGCCTCGATGACAAAGTGAGACCTTGCCCCCTCTCCAAAAATAAAAAGGTAACATAACCTTGTTACTCAACAGCTAAGCATTTAATAGCTACACAGAAACAGAAAGTTTATGTGGGAGGGATATTTAAACTGCATTCAGCTCAGTGAAGAGTTTAAGGAACCTGCATTCTGAGACCGTCCAGGAGTCTGAAGGATAGTTTGGCAGAACCCTCCCCGGCCAGGTGGAGTAATCCATTTATATGCACAAGTGGCTCCAGGAGGTCTTGCCCACCTTGGCCCTATTAGGGACTCAAATTTGTAGTTTTATAAACTCAATTTTGTCAGTGTGCCTAGAGCTGACAAAAGTGATGACTGATACAGGTTAATCAAATTCACAAGAAATGGTACTATCAACTAGAATGCAGTGTATTTATAGGTTTGTGATTAACCTATAAATTCCTTTCCAGGACGAACAGTATGTATATCTTCTATCCAGAGCGCTCTCTCCCCAGTGTCAGGGTGACTGGGAAGGCAAATTAAGAATTAAAGGCTTAGATGTGTGCAATGAGGCCAAACACATTTGTGAAATGCTACTCTAGGCCAGAATGACTTTCTCTGTTACCTTAATTACTATATGTTGGTTTCTAAATGCTTGAACTGTCAGAGGGCAACTTAGTTTCCAAATTTCAGAGGTGAAGGAAGAGGGGAAACCTCACTGTAGGAAGAAATTCAGTTTTCTCACCTAGAGGTAAGAACACAACTGAAAAGCAAAAAAAATCAGACGGGGCAATGTCAGTAGGTCTAGAAGATGATAATCAATGATACTGGTTTTGTAGGTAAACTGGCACTCACTGTCACTGCGAAATGTGTGACCCTAGTTTCCAGTCTCTTTCCACTAATTTATGTAGTCCTAAAAAGCACTGCTCCCATCACATGATTGTTACTTTAAAAAAACAAACAAACAAAAAAAAACCAACCTTCAATGGATCCCTTACCAAATTAAACTGACTCTGCTTTGGCTCAAGTCCCTCCATGCCCACTGTATCTTATTTATCTGCAGGCTTTTTTCTCATGACTTCTGCATTCCTAACAATTACCTCTTTTACTTTCCTTGAACCATGCCATACAGAATGCTTAACAAAGGCTGTAGCTTTCTCCTGAGGCCTTCAACACTCTGTGCCTCCCACGGTACTTAGCAACCCCTGCCTAACTAGTTAGTAGTAAGTAGTCTTAGTGCCTGACTTACTACTTCAGTGGGTATGTTTTCTGAAGGATGCCCAGCAGGGTGTCAACGTCTCCTACTTCACTAACAGTTAACAACCGCTGATTTGAAAAGGAAAGCACTGGGTGTGGCTACCTTGCAGAGACCGAACTCATCCATTTCATCTGGGGGGATGCCATAGTTGCCGATCAGAGGATAGGTGAGCACTAAGATCTGTGCTTTGTAGGAGGGATCAGTGAGGGCCTCGGGGTAGCCGACCATGCCGGTTTGAAACACTGCAAGAAAGAAGCAGGGCTGGGCTCCGGCAGAGCACTCCCAGCGCGATGAGCACGCCCCAGTGGAGGCTGCCTTGGTCGCGAGAGGTGGACACGCTGAGGCCCATGGGCACCGAATTGGGGGGGGACGGGGTGTGCTGGCGGGAAAATGGCGGGGTCTGGACAGGGAAGGTGAGGCGGAGAGGCGCATCAGAGTGGGATAAGGTCTGCAGCCTACCCGGACTTGCTTACCCACTTCCCCGGCAGTCGACACGGCGGCCCCAAAGGGCTGGCCCCGCAGGACCGACCCATCCTCCAACACTAGGGCCGCCATGGGAAGGGAGCTCAGAGGCGGGGGCGAGTACGGAGAAGCGGGAAGGATGCAAACTCCACTGGAACCACGTGAGGATGGCGCGCCGGAATCGGTCCACGTGGCTAACGGCGCGGGGCGCTGGAGAGAAGGCGGGCGCGGCAGGCGCAAGAGCCTCTAGCGCGCTTGGAGGCGGCAGAGACGGCGGCGGCGCGGACACCGGTGGCGTCAGGGGCGGGGCTGGGCACGTAAGGGGCGGGGCTCCAGGAGCCAAGGGGAGTGACCCCTCGTGGTATCCGCACTGCAAAACCAGGAGGAAACCTGAAAAAAAATCGGCTGCCTTAAAGTAGTCTTTCCCACCCAAAGCTAGAAACAACTAAAGGCAGGACCCCTTTACTTAAAAAGAAAGACAGAAAGAAAAAAAAGAAAAAGAAAAGTGTTTATTATAGGCAACAACACAAATGGGAACTGGTACTTGTCTATACCAGGGGAGTGCAATTTTTCAACTTCCAATGGCGGCCTCAATCTTGAGGCAAATCCACTGACCAAAGATGCCTGTCTAGGAAGCAGAGCTCCGTGGATGGGCTAAGATAGATCAGATTGATCTTAGGTCAATGTAAGACCTATGTGGTTCATGAAGTCTTCGCTTTTCGGCGTTGGGTCCCCCAAAGCAGAATGGAGATGGATAGAGTGGTGGATCCCAGAATCCCGAAGAACATAAGCAGTGAGAACGAGCCCTGTGAATAACAGACCAAAACATATCCCATACAACGTTACACAGAGGGCGACATCCTAACACCTAGTTCATTCCCAAGGTATATCATCTCGTCTAGGACAATTCTATAGTTTTCTCCCTAGAGGTAATTTGTATTAGCTCCTGGTCTGTGACTCTCCTTTCTGAGAGGTGTTGCTCTATGCATTCCTTGTATCCCTAGTTAGAAGGCCTTATTCCTCACCTGGCGCATACACTTATATCCGTGGAAACCATCAGCACAAACACACTGCAAAAAACCTGGACCATTAGGTACACAAGATCCATTCTCAGGACACATTTCTGGGGACCAGAGAGAAATAGAGAACATCACTGCATCCATCTCATTAGGCATATTTCTCAATTATCTGTTTCAACTTAGATTCTCTCAATCATTTCTAGGATAAAGGAAGCGGAAAGATTACAGATAAAAACAGTAACAGTAATAGCATATGCCTTAAGATCTTTTCTTTCAAAGGGGTTAGAGCCCCAGAACTCTGAATGAAAGGCATTTAAGCAACTTTGTCTTCCTGATCTAAAGTGGAAAATACAAGGAAGAAAAGACAATTCCCAGAAGCTTGGAGGTAAGAGAGCATACCTGGGTTCCCAGTGTTATTGCAAAGGTTCTTTTGGCCTTGACAGATCTGGTTGTCTATATAAGAGGTGACAGTATTCCAGGCATTAATTCCTCCAGGACAGTTGACATCTTGTGGCAGTATCCTAAAGACAAACGTGGTCATAACATGCAAAGTTGCTAAACTCACAGCATTGCCCCTCTTTGATTCTCTTCCCATACCCTTACTCACAGAGTCTGGAGCTGAGTAAAGCCACGGAAGGTGTTGGCCAAGTCACCTTTGAGAGGGTTTGCTTGCAGATCTCTGCAAAGCACACACTGTCAGCACTTTCCCATCAACCTACACTATATTAGCCTTTTGGGTGGGAGGTGTCTAACTACTTACATGATGATAGTGGTATGTGCCTGATGAAAGTCTGGACCAGGGTCCTCCAGAGAACAGTTCTGGAGATCCAGCCTGAAGACACAAAGTAATCAACATAACTGTGTGTTCCCCTTTTTCTTCATCCACAGCAGTTTGTATTTGACTACACAACCCCCTTTTCAGCTAATAGTAATTGAACACAGCTGTGTTCCGACTCACATACTAGGTGCTGTGGTAGACATTTTAATCCTACATTATCCAATAGAGTCGCCACTTGCCACATGTAGCTACTTAAATTTAAATTAATATAATCTTAGGCTGGATGTAGTGGCTCACTCCTTAATTCCAGTACTTTGGGAGGCCACTGCAGGAGGATCACTTGAGCCTAGGAATTCGAGACCAGCCTGGGCAATATAGTGAGACCCTGACTCTACAGAGAAAAATTAACCTAAAAATTCACTGTCTCATTTGCACTAGCCATATTTCAAGTGCAAATGGAATAACCACGTTAGTGGCTACTGTACTGGTTAGTACAGATATGGAATATTTGCATAATCACAGAAAGTTCTATTGGCCAGCAATGTTCTAATAGGTTATGCATCTATTGGGAGAACTGTGTTTCTTGTCTATATTAGTGAATCTCATATTATGATTTTCAGATCCACAGAGGGCCTTTAAAAAAAAACACAAGTCACATAAATAAAATGTTTTCCGCATGTATTTTCTACCACAGATTGGTTGTAAACTGCTGGATATTAAGGATCATGCCACATTTTTTCTTCACTATCTACTGCTGTCAATTCCTTTATTCTACAAATATTTACTGAGTGCCTACTAACTGCAAACGCTGGGAGAATGTTAAAAATATATAACACAGTATCTTAGACTTGAGTGGTTTGCAATGTGGTTAGAGAAACAAGACCACTGCCCAAAATAAAAACACTGTAGATATTAAATTACAATATGAAAGAAACCACAGGACAGTGTATAAAATATACACTAAAGATTACAGGAAGTTTCAAAAAAAAGTATTACTCTGGAATTTAATAGTAGAAAATATTCAGAAAAGATGTTGGAATTGAAGGATGGATATGTCCTAATTTGGTGGAGGAAGGCAATTTCAGGTATGGAGAGAGGCCTGAACAAAGGTAGAATGCCTTTGAGGGTAGGCAAATCTGGTGCCAGACCTCTTATGGAGGTTTGAGTGGACACGTAATTGGAAATAATGTTGGAAAAGTGGGTTGGGACTAGTCTATGGTAGCTCGTGGTTTGAATTTTATCCTGAGAGCAACAAACAGTTACCTAAATATAGTATTAAAGCAAGAGAGCGATAATGGAAAATGTTGGTTTTCTGAAAGCTTAATATAGAGAAGTATTTAGGTAGATTAAGGAAGAAGAGAATGGAAGCAAAACACAACATTTTTAGTTTGAAGTTAGGATGCACTTAGTAGGAAATGTTTAACAGGAAGAGCAAGAGGTACCCATATGTACCTGGGGTGTGGAAAGGCAAAAAGACTCTAAAGAGATCTAGTTTTGGTAGACACCTGCGTGATGGTTACAGCTGAAACCATAACAGGTGGATTCTCAAAATAATATAAGGGTAGAAAAGCAGCCAGCCTAAGGAATGGCCTGTATCCAATATCCAGGGATGTCTTCTCCCTCACCCCAAGATGGTGCCATTCTGATTCAGGCAGCAACGGGCATGTAGCATTAGCTCTCCTGTAGTTTTACAATAAAGGGCCACTTTTGACAAATTTTGCACACTCCCTGGACATTGGGTGCATATCTGCAGAAGAGAAAGAAACATTAGAACTCCGGAAAGAACACACGGGGATCAAGAATTAACTGCCAGCACACCTTTCCAGAATTCCTCTAACATGGGGCCGATAAATGGCTCGTGTCCTACCCTCATAACAGGCTAGACTAGGAGATGCCATTTCTTCCTCTAGAGTCCGGTGCCCAATCAGCTCCCCAGAGACTTTTCAGTAACAGACATCGCCCAGGGGAAGGTCCTCATTTCTGAAGATTACTATTCGAACATATTTATTATGCCCTCTGCAGAGACTTCTCAATCTGACAGCCTCAGTTTGTCCCGGTGTAAAAGGACCGCGGTATGTAAGAACTCATCAAGCATTACAAAATAAAGTGCAGCCCTACCACCGCACGATACACGGCATTCGTACGTAGAGCTTACACAAAGAGCCAGAGGACCCGTCTGTAGAAAGAGCTTATTCTAAAATTAAGGAAAGAGATCAAGTTTCACAGGTCTTTGAAAGTCGGCAGGACGGGGGCGTCGAAGGCCTGCACGACGTGAGCACTCGGGAATAGGACCTGGCTGGGCAGGGTCGGGAAGCGTCAGGGACGAAATCAGAGCCGCAGGCCGGCAGAGGGGAAGGGGGAGCCGCGGGCGAGCGCGAAGCGCTGGCCATCGACCCTGCTTCAGCCGGACTTCAAACTTGCTTCTGTACCTCGGGTAGAGCCAGAGCCCTTTCCACGCCCAGAGCAAGGAGCAGGGTGGCAGCCCAGCGCACCAGGATCGTAAGAGTACCCCGGCCGCGAGGCGCCATTTTCCGCTCCCTTGGTTCTCCACCGCTAGCGCGACCCGACCCCCGCAGCCCCGCCCCACGGCGCGTCAGGCCCCCTTCGCCGGGCGTGGCCTAAACGGCCGGGTTTAGTAGCCCTGGGGCTGGGTGGGGGCTGCTCCTGCTCGGGGAGCTCAGCTTTGGTCTTTAGGAGCCCCAGCCTTCTTTCGGGGACACTGGCCGACCACCTCTTCCTTTTCCCCTTTAGTGAAGGCCTCCGCCGTCGCCGCGCCGCTTCCTAGAGCCTACTGCAGGCTTCTTCAGCCCAGCGTTCCCCGCGCCTGGATGTCGAGGTCGCGTCTCCACGGAGACTCGGGCCCGTCCATCCGCCCTCAGTAAACATGGCGGCACGGCGAGCTGGGCTGGCGGAAGGCGGGCGGAGGGCGAGGGCGGGGCCCCCCACGGTCTCCTGGTCTGCGCGCCGCGGACGGGCTCTGGCTACCCACGTGTGGAGAACAGGCAGGTGGGCTTGGAGAGCGTGAGTCAGCACCGAGAGGCCCCGGGGAGCGGCGTAAGAGCGGGGGCGGGGGCGGGGGCGGGGGGCGGGGGCAGGGGGCGGGGAGGGGCGGAGCGAGCCAGCCCCGGGCTGAGAAGATCTGAAATGCGAGCGGTAGTAACGTGGTCGTGGTCGCCGCGTGGAGGGAATCTGGAAGCCAGGAAAGAACGAGGGTGAGGGTGATGGAGCAGGAAAGGGCAAACCGCAAACTCTAGCGGGAGGACACGAGCCTGGAACGCCCTGGGCACCTAGTCACCTTCACCTCAGTCGTGATAGCGCGCAGCGTCCTGGAGCCTGGCGAGGAGGTAGGAACGGGATAGACGCTTCCCTAACTCATTTTCTTTGCCTTCTCAGGCAAAGGGAGCGATGTTGATTTCTGGAAGCACAGGCGGACCTTCCTAGCCCTGGCTGAACCACGGAGGTAAGGGAGTGCGGAAGGGTGCCAGGGGGAAGCCCTGCTCCCGGAGTGACTGTCTTGGTTCAAGCCAACCACAAAGCTCCTTAAAGCCGACCCAAGCGATCATCTCTAGTTGCCGACCCAGGCTTCCCTTCCACATTACCCTCCGGTGTCTGCCTGGACATTCCTGAAAGATTTACGTTTAGCTGGTTGGCAAATTTTCTAAGGTGTTAGTAGCTATTAGCATTTTTTTTTTTTATTTGAGACAGAGTGGTGCAATCTTGGCTCACTGCAACCTCCACCTCCCGGGTTCAAGCAATTCCCCTGCCTTAGCCTCCAGAGTAGCTGGGACTATGGGCGCATGCCACCACACCAGCTAATTTTTTGTGTTTTATTAGAGATGGGGTTTCACCATGTTGGCCAGGATGGTCTCCATCTCCTGACCTCATGATCCGCCTGCCTCAGCCTCCCAAAGTGCTGGGATTACAGGTGTGAACCACCTAGCCAGGCTGCTATTAGCATTTTAAGGAGGGCCCCCAAAGCCTTTCACACCTTGAGGAATTATAGCCCCAGGACAGATTTTGAGGGGATCTTTTTGGAACAGTCCTGCAGAGGACAGTGAGACCCTTTGCCTTTTTTTGTAAGAGACAATTCCATCTACTGCAGTGTGTGAACAAAATGAGTTAGAGGTTTTTTTTGTTTGTTTGTTGTTTTTTTTTTTTGAGACAGAGTTTCGCTCTTGTTACCCAGGCTGGAGTGCAATGGCGCGATCTTGGCTCACCACAACCTCCGCCTCCTGGGTTCAGGCAATTCTCCTGCCTCAGCCTCCTAAGTAGCTGGGATTACAGGCATGTGCCACCATGCCCAGCGAATTTTTTGTATTTTTAGTAGAGACGGGGTTTCACCATGTTGACCAGGATGGTCTCGATTTCTTGACCTCGTGATCCACCGGTCTCGGCCTCCCAAAGTGCTGGGCTTACAGGCTTGAGCCACCGCGCCCGGCCTAGAGTTTTTAAAAGGGGTCCCACAATCTGCTGTTTGTGCCTTAGTGTGTTATAGTTCTGGTGAAACAAGAGATAGGTCTTCCTTTTGGCCCTCCCTTCCTGGAGACATGTAAGGGTTTGGATCAATATAGGGTTTTTAGAAAACCACAGATCTGTTCTCAGAATCTAGTCTGTTACTGAGTCAGGTTTTTTCTGTCTTCCTTGGCTCTCTCTTGTGGCATCCGGGAGAATTCTCCACACATCATGCAAATAGAGTTTTATCAGGAAGTCCTATCAGCAGAGTATCTTGAAGGTCTGTGTCCCACATTGGGAGTTTCCTATCTCTGACCACCTGCCTATCTATACCATCAACCCTGTAGTGTTGTATGTTCTTTGCACACAGCAGACATCATCTTTCCTCTTACTCCCCAGTAGTTCCCATCATCTCTATCATAGCAGTAAAAACTTGCCAAGGACAAATGGGAAAACTCAGGGTGTCGCAATGTGCAAAGCCCCAGGACATCTTTTGGATAAACCAGAGTTTAAGCCCAAGCTGGACATGGTAGTTCTTGCCTGTAATCCCAACACTTTGGGAGGTTGAGAGGGGTGGATCACCTGAGGTCAAGAGACCAGCCTGGCTCACATGGTGAAACCCTGTTTATACTAAAAAAAAAATTAGCTGGGTGTGGTGGCACATGTCTATAATCCCACCTACTTGGGAGGCTGAGGCAGGAGAATCTCTTGAACCCGGGAAGCGGAGGTTGCAGTGAACCAAGATCTGCACCATTGCTTTTACACTCCAGTTTGGGCAACAAGAGCAAAACTCCATCGCAAAAAAAAACAAAAAACAAAAAACAGCCTGTTGGGAACCTTGTAGAACATGTGATCCAAGAGTTGCCAGCTCTGATTTCCTCTCTTTTTTGGCCCCAAGAAGTTCAGAGTTCAGGTTTAGTCTCCATGAGGCCATAGCTTGCTAGCCAGCCAGTGTCTGCCCAAGAACACACTGTGGGAGAGCCAGAAGTCAGCCTAATCTTTCTCCTAGTGGGCAAAAGCAGAAGACACGTTTAATCTGACTCTTGGTTGGTTGAAATCTAAACTATGTCCTGTGAATGACTGATTACCTCACTCCGCTCCTCCCCTGGTTCTGGAAGTAGTGAGAACAGGGCCCTTGGTGAGCACCTGTCATAGCTGCAGACAGTACTGCTTCTTTCTCTCTTGTTTTGTATCATGCTGCGTAACCTTGAGCAAGTTATTTAATCTGTCCGTTTTCTTGTCTGGAGGGTATTCATGTCTCAACCTGAGACATGGTGTTTTCAAAGTTATTACTGCGTTATTTATTATTGCAAATGTTTATAAAGCACCTCACACACTGCTGGGTTACATAGCAGGTGTTCAAGGAGTGTTAACTGTCGTCATGTTAGGCTGTCTGACTACATGGCATTCTCTGTTTTTTCCCCATACCAGTAAATACGCCAGAGGATTGCCTCTGAAGACAATAGGATATGCATGGAGAACAGACAGGGTGGATGGTGAATCCCTAGACCTGGGTTCTAATTTACCCTCTGACAATAGTAGGCTCTGTGGTTTTGGAAAGGTCACTTGAACCATCTGAACCTTAGTGTGTTTATCTGTGAAATGGTCAGTGGTGGGGGGTTTGTTATAATAGTGGTATCCAAAGATTTAAGATTTTAAATATTATGATCCCTTCCTTCTTTCTCTGAGGATTGTGGTATATTCTTGGAGGATTAACATATCTTGTGTAGGAGTTAAAAAATCAACTTTCAACTTTCCTGTCTATTCAGTTCCTGCTTTCCAACTCCCTCCTGCACAGAGTGCCAAGAGTACTTTAGGCTGAAAGCCTAATCCATCTAGGAATGCTGTTGAATGTGAGCTCCCTTTTACCTCTTCTGGAGCCTCTAGGGCTGAGTTGGAGTTTGGGGGCCATAGGGTGACAGGGTCATTTGGAGCACAGCAATTGGTTACCTGAACAAATGACTGCTGAGTGCCACCCCACCCCCAATTCCTGATCTCACCACAGCCTCTCATAGAGCCAGATCTTCAGCTCTGCAACTCCAGGCAACTGTGCCTCAGGACAAGGATTGCTTCTCCAGGTAGGTATCTGCCCCCAGCAGGATGTGACCACTCTCACTGGCTGGTGCCTTTGCCTCTCAGCTCCTTGGCTGGGTTGCTTCTCTCCAGAATGGAGAATCATAACTCTGAAACCCTGACTCTAACGTGGTGCCCTCTCACCTTTCCCTTCTCATTTTTGAATCCAACCACTTTTCCTGCGTCTGCTGTTGGCTATGGTGTGGCAAGTAGAGGGGTTGAGAGGTGGGTGGCAGCGCTTATTTAGTGATGTTGGGGAAAACCTAGTGGTTGGCCTGGGGCTGCCACAGAGGCAGTCTTACTGATGATCAGTTAGGAGGGTGACACTGGAGATCATGGGTGGCAAGGGCTGAGGCCAGGGGCAATAGGAAAAGCCCTGCTGCCATTAGTCTCCATGTTGTCTTTCCTGCTGGGCTGTGGCGCCAGGCTGGCTCTGCTGGCTTAGTGTATTGTAGTGACTGGGTCTGTGCCTTCAAGTGGGGCCAGGAAATTCTTCAAAGAAACTTAGCCTAGAGTTTATTTTTCTTTTGCTTCTTGGATGGAGACCTAAGAAGTTCCTTGAATTTCACAGCTCTTGCATACCCAAAGGTCCTGGCCAAGTTCTATTGTCTCTTGGCTGTCTCAGTCTGCTGCTTCCCCCTCACTTACCGCTCCTACCAAACCCGTATCAGGGCCTCCATACCCTGAAGGGCTACCACTATGCTGGCTGGTCCACTTCTGGTGGGCGTGGGATATACAAGGCCCAAGGGTGAATGGCTACCAAGATAGGCCTCACTAAGAGCTAATTCCTTTGCAGCTCACCCTGGACAGTGTCATTCCGTGGAGGAAGACTGTGAGACCTTGGCTGGGAGCCAGGTTGTAGCCACCCATCCGCCCCTGCCCTAGCCCAGAGCCCTGGAGCATCAGCTGGCTGCAGACCACAGATACAGTGAGGATATGAGTGTAGGGGTGAGCACCTCAGCCCCTCTTTCCCCAACCTCAGACACAAGCATGGGTACGTCCACCTTCTCCCTTGTGGACTATGTAGTGTTCATCCTGCTGCTGGTTCTCTCTCTTGCCATTGGGCTCTACCATGCTT